GCGTGTTTGCCTGGCTCGCCGCAGTGAGAACGGCAAGATACATGCATGCACCTTCGTGTTTCCATTTGTTTTTCCCCCATCTCTCTTGACACGCGTCTGGAGGATTGGGGCGTCGCTGAAGTCGTCGCTGTCGTCGTTGTGAACGCGTCTGTCGTCTACGCGGACTCGCTCTCACACCCACCGCAACGAGATGTGACAGGACTTATGGTGCGGACGTATTGGGATATCCGCGTCGAGCCATTATTCTCCATAGCCAAAGGATGGGCGGTTTGTTATTCGCCATCTCCCAAGGGTGGGGTTCTTGTCACAATTCCGACTTCGCAACCACCTCTCTCGCCCCCCTCATCCTTTTCCTCAGAGTCACTCGGGGTCGCGACTCATGTTATGGTGATGGTGATAGAGTTAGTCATGCTGATGGGCATGATGGTGGTGTTGCTGATGGTGATGATGACAACATCGGTGACGACACCAATGGTGATGATGACGATGCTGGTGCTGACGATGGTGATGATGATGCTGATGCTGATTGCGGAATAGATTTGAAGGATGATGCGAGCGAGGCGTTGTTGATGAGGATGGTGTTGGCCATGTGGTGATGGTGATGGTGGCGGTGACGGTGATGATGATGATGGTCATGATGATGATGAACATGTTGATGATGCTGTTCCCCGTACCCAATGGATGGGGCTTTCGTTACTCCCCATCCAAAGGATGATATTCTCCTATTCTCCGACCGCGCCAGACCACCCATACCGTGATGATGACCATGGTATGGCGAGAGTATGATGTGAGTATGATTGTGATGGTGAATGATAGATGCGTACGGTGATGATGTTGATATGGATGATGATGCTGATGATGATGTTGAGTATTATGATGATGATGATGATGATGATGATGATGATGATGATGATGATGATGATGATGATGATGCTGATGCTGATGCTGATGCTGATGATGATGCTGATGATGCTGACGGTGCGCAGATCAGGAGGATGTCTCGAGCGGCTTGCTGGTTTTAGCACTCCTAAGGGGGGGCTGCCAGGGGTATTGCACGGCCTCCGTTCGCGCTCAACTGGCGGGGATGCCTCGAGCGATTTGCTTGTTTTGGTCGCAGCATCCTTCGTGTCCAGCGAAGAATTTGGAGGATGTCTCGAGCGAGGCGCTCATGTTCCCCCCCCCAGGTGCGCCAGATGTTGAGGATGTCTCGATCGGTGTGCCTGTTTTGATGGCCAGACTCGTGGTCACATATTCTCCCCAGGATGCCTCAGGAGGCTCCAACAGGCTCCCGGAGGCCCCAGGAGGCCACATGAGGCCCCAGAAGTCAACAGGAGTGGCTCCGCTCCCACGTGTTTTACGTGTGATCCTATAGATTGGGCCTCCTTCGGAGCACGAATCCTTGATGTTATACGTATGTGTCTATAGATTGTCCTCTTCCTGTGTACACAATCCTAAATGTTTTACTTATGTTCCTATATATTGAGCCTCCCCTGCGGCTCTAATCCGCAATGTTTTATGTACGTATGCTGCTATATATTGGGCCTCTCCTGGGGCAGGAATCACCCCTAGGAGGTCCCAGGAGGCCCCAAGAGGCCCCTGGAGGCCCCAGGAAGCCCCAGTAAGTTTCAGGAGGCCCCAGGAGGCCCCAGGCTCATGCGCAGAGACGCGCTCGTACTACTGAGGCGCATTCACACTCCAATTCATCCCCAGTTAGATTCATGACCAGACCGTCACAACTCAAGCCCGCTTATATTCGGACACCCTTGCGCCTAGACACTCACGGCGGACAAGTCCATGCGAATAGATGCACATATGGGGAGCTCCTCTCAGTGAATAATATTTCTCCGACCGCGCAGGGCCACCCCTCTCCTCCCCCCTCTCTGCACTAGACCTAGGCAATGATGATTGTCATGATGATGACTATGGTTTGGTGGGAGTATGATGTGAGTATGATGGTGATGGTGAATGACTGGATGAGACGATGATGATGATGATGCTGATGATGATGATGATGATTGTGATGCTGATGCTGATGCTGATGGTGGTGGTGGTGCTGCTGCTGCTGATGATGATGATGATGATGATTATGATGATGATGATGAGGAAGAGGAAGCGCAGATGAGATGATGATGACGATGAACAAATGATGAGGATGTCTCGAGCGGCTTGCTGGTTTTAGCACTTCTAAGGGGGGGGGGCGCCAGGGGTATTGCACGGTCTCCGTTCGCGCCCACATGGCGGGGATGTCTCGAGCGATTTGCTTGTTTTGGTCGTCAACATCCTCCGCTTTCGGAGCAGATTTGGAAGATGTCTCGAGCGAGGCGCTCATTTTCACCCCCCAGGTGGGCCAGATGTTGAGGATGTCTCGATCGGTTTGCTTGTTTTGGTGGCCAGACTCGTGGGCACAGATTCTCTTCAGGATGCCACAGTCGCACTCCTAAGTGGGGGCGCCAGGGGTATTGCACGGCCTCCGTTTGCGCCCACATGGCGGGGATGTCTC